ATTGTATTACACTGTCTCAAATTATGTAGAGAGGTTTATTAAGTCAATCAATTTTTGACCAAGCACAGGTGTCTGATATTTCATCCATCATATACCAGTTTCCAATTAATATTGCGTAGATTGAAATCCCCGATAATAATTATATATAATAATAATTATAATTATTATTATATATAATTAAAATGCAATAATTATTATTATAAATAATAATGATTTCTTATATTTACGCGAACACTATACATGATTAAAACTACTTTTACAGATTTTATCGCGTTTATTTTTACTTTTTATTTACTTTTATTTTTAATTCCCCACGTTTCGGGCGCTTTCCAGCACCCATGGTCACGGGGGACTGAGATGACTGACGTCCCGATGTCATTGTTAAACCCGGAGTACCTTCAGCATTTTTAATTATTGTTTATGGTCCGATCTATGCAAAATGAACTGACTATGTCTGATGATAAGGGGTTGCTGTGATACCTACATCAGCCCTCAATTAGGAATTGAAATGCGGTAACAACGTATCTAACGTTGTTACCTCAATTAATAAATGCTTCTTTAGTAAATGTCTCTGTATAATATACGTATCATACGAAACGCAGCAGCATTGAGCTGCTATTTTACGCTGGTATTCTGTGTGAGAGTGGTCCCTCCCCGGTCAAGCCATTTCATTCGTGCCGCAATCATAATATAGCTGTAGCGGCTGTACAGGCGTATCTATACCAGGTACCTTCGACGAAGAGATGAGAAGTTTTCATTGAGAACTCGAATCGTGGACAGTGACAAAAACCCGAGTTATATTTTACATTCTCCCTTTATTGGTAACACGCAAACTTGGTAATTTACAATGGTCAACGATTTACATAATGATTTCTTAAATTTACGCGAACACTACACATTGAATAAAACTAAATTTACGGATTTTATCGCGTTTATTTAACTACTTTTACTTATTTTTAATTCCCGACGTTTCGGGTGCTTTACAGCAACCATGGTCACGGGGGGACTGAGATGTTTGACGTCCCAATGTCATAGTTAGTCCGGCTACCTTCAGTTTTTGAATATTAATTTTTGGTCCGATTTACGCAAAACGAGCTTATAGTATCATGAAGTCTTGCAGTGGTATGCTTAGGTTTGGGTTTAATTTTGTTAATTATAGGATCCCAAGCAGGTGGCAGCACCCATCCATCTTCTCTATTGAAATTTGGATGTTTTTTAATTTCAATAGCCTCACGTATCATCCTTGGTAGGAATCGGTGTTCTTTCGCGAGGATTTGTGGTCTAACAAATCTGATGTAATGGTTGGGTCCGTCTAGGATATAATCACAAACTGCAGACTTCCCGGAACGTTGATGAACAGAGCTATATATTCTACTCCTATTGATTTTTTGTTTGTCCTATATAAGAGAGACCACATTCACAATCAAGCTTGTACACTCCTGCATCTTATAGAGGAATATGACACTTGACGGATGGTAGGAACTGACTAATCTTCTTCGGCGGCTTGTAGAATGTTCTAATAGAAGCTCGCTTCAAGATATAGCCAATCTTGTCTGTGACACCTCTGACATATGGTAGTACAGCAGGCACACGCTCGACTGTGGCCGGCTTCACTCGGTCACTGTGACGTAGGCGCGGGACCCGAAGCTTGTTGTCGTGCAGAACTTGCTTGACGTGCTGAAGCTCGGCGGCCAGGTGTTTGCTGTCACAGATCCCTCGTGCTCTCTGTAACAAAGATTTGCCCACGGTAGCTAACTATTAGGTAGGAATTAAAAATAAAAGTAAATAAAAAGTAAAAATAAACGCGATAAAATCCGTAAAAGTAGTTTTAATCATGTATAGTGTTCGCGTAAATATAAGAAATCATTATGTAAACCAGTACGGACTGGAAATAGCAAATAAAATACGCCGATTAGAAGATCTAAAGACCAAGCGCGCAAGATACATAACAGCTTTAAATTTCTTGAAAAGATGCAGAAATCATAATCTCATTCCTACGTGTGTCAAGATATTCACTAAAAAAAGACATCTCAGGACATAGTCAGTTCATTTTGCATAGATCGGACCATAAACAATAATTTAAAAAGCTGAAGGTACTCCGGGTTTAACAATGACATCGGGACGTCAGTCATCTCAGTCCCCCGTGACCATGGGTGCTGGAAAGCGCCCGAAACGTCGGGAATTAAAAATAAAAGTAAATAAAAAGTAAAAATAAACGCGATCAAATCCGTAAAAGTAGTTTTAATCATTATAAATAATTATAATTATTATTTATATATAATTAAAATGGCGGACGTTGTCAAAAGTAAATGATGCAGTCAGTACAAAATCTTAAAAATGAATTTTTGTAGCATATGTTTCAAATTTCCTAATAACAAATTCTCAACGCAAATAGATTTTACAATATCAATATAAATAAAACTTTGAAAATCTGTGGATAAGAAAGTAATTTCAAGAAAAATGTATTTCTTTCAAATTGACAACTGTCAAGAAATTTTACAAACAGATTTATAAAATATTTAATTTAACGTTACATTATGCATCGAACGAGACGATAAATACGAATAAATACCGCCAATACCACAATCGCACACGTGACATCGCCTACGGAGCACTACACATCCATGGAATGTAATCCAAGAGGCACAAGAAGAACCCCCGTACCATCTTTGAGGGGACGAAGAGCACCAGCGGCTGGCTTGGGACCTGCAGGAATTACCATCCTACATGAGGACCCCGCTACTGATGGTGTAGTGCGACGACGCATGCGCTGGACTAAAGAATTAAATATAAGTGTTATGCGCGCGTACTATAAGGCTACCAAAGGAGGAACCGATCTTACATCTTATCGCCCTAAAATGCTGTCTGAATTCCAAGAGCTACAACCCAACCTAACAAACTTAACTGCCTAAAGACTTTCAAATCAAGTGCAAGGCAATAATAGTGGATATCAGTGTTCCTCATGACGAGAATCTCGTAAAAGCAGAGAATGATAAAAAAATTAAATATATCGACCTGGCTTATGAGATTGTCGCTATGTGGGACGTTTATTCTACTATTATTGTACCAATAGTTGTTTCAGTCAATGGTCTTATTGCTAAAAATATGGACGATTATCTGTCCAAGTTAGGTTTGGGCAAATGACTGAAGGCATTAATTCAAAAATCGGCCTTATTAAATACGGCTCGAATAGTAAGAAGGTTCCTATCTTTGGATGCCTAACTTCACCGATGGCTTAGAATTCCTCGCCGCGGTGGATAATAACCGAAATAATAATATTATTTATATAGATTGTATTTATATTTATAATATTATAGTTTTGTGATAATATATGTGATAAAAATTATAATAATTATAATAACTATAAAGGAGAACATTCCATAGTTTTACTTGCATTAGTTTAAGCTCAATACAAATTCATCATGATTGACGTAGGTGCGTATGGTCGAAACAGTGACGGTGGCATATACGACAAATCTTTGATGGGAAGATTATTTGAGCAGAAAGCATTAAATGTGCCACAGGATGAACCACTGAGTCAAAACTCGCAACCTGTGCCATACACTATTGTTGCTGATGCAGCATTCACGTTGAAACCACATTTGTTAAAACCTTATCACAAAGACAAGCTAGCTAACAATGATGCGAATAAAATATTTAATTATCGCTTATCACGTGCGCGCCGGTGTGTAGAAAATGCGTTTGATATTTTACGGGCTCGATTTCGAATATTTCATGGACTATGCGAGTCCAGCCGGACATGCTAGACAAGATTGTGCTAGCTGCTTGTTGCCTTCATAATTTTTTAAGAACACAAACATCGCTAAGCACAGATAAACCTGAAGAAAATTTTATGGATTCTACTGACCATAACAGCAACATTGATTGTCTGCTTAATATTGAATCTTTGCCAAGAAACCCATCACAAAACGCTGTTTATGTCAGAGAGAAATATAAAGAGTATTTTATTAGTCAAGAAGGTAGAGTACCATGGCAAATAGAAATGATTCGCCGGAGTAGACAAAATTCTTAATAGTAGATTGTTGCATCGAGTGCAAAGTGAGCTTCAGTGGAAAGGGGGTCGGAAATTTAGTTAGATTTTGGCTACGACGCAGCGTTTTCGAGATATTCTCCTTTTTATAAAATTCATTCTTGAAAATTTTACAAGTCCTGGCCCCATACAAAATTAGTTGAAATTTTGTTAAGTCCTGCACACCCTTTGCTACACTCCAACAATAAACAGTGCATTAGTGAAAAACTAAGTACAAAAAAAGCAAAAAAAAATACGTACTTTGTGATCGGTTTTGTAGTGAATAATGATAACATTACTACGTAGTTGAAAGAAAACAGTAATAATTTTTTATTTTGTATAATTATTCATTTATCCCTTTTCAAATAAATAATAAAGTGAAATACTATTTTATTGTCTTACCTGGTTCTTTCAAAATTTCAGCAATTTCTTCCCAAGCAGCATTTCTGATCAATTGATCCTTGTACTCTTTACACTTTGAGTCATATATAACTTTTCGTTGACGTACAAGTTCAATAAGATAGTCAGTCATTTTGCTGCAAATATAATTATTAAAAAGTGTCCGCTAGATGTTCGCGCCACGAGCCACACGCCGGTATAGAAACACATTTGTTTCGTGTCGCGTCATAACCCCCACCACCACTTTGGCGCAATCGGTGGCGAGCAGTCGGCGCCACGACAGAACGTGTTGTGACGCGACACGACATGCAAATATGTCCCTAACCATATTAAATGTGTGAAACCGATATGCTTCTGGCGCGCCACGACACGCCACGACACGTAAATATGTTTCCGCCTACACATTTCAGGCCAAGTAGGTCATTGACCTTTATCGTCGGGAACATAACAATATTATGTGTTGGGTGAAAAAATTGGGGGATTCTTTCCGACTGCACACAGTAATTAGTTTTGTAGTCGTCATGACAGAGAGACGGTGTGCGTGTGTGTGTAATGTAACCAGGTGTGGTACCTTAACGAGTCCGTCGTACGCCTTATCGTCCATGTCCTTGAGCCAGCGCATGAAGGGCGCATAGGGCAGCAGGTGCGCGTGGTGGCGGCGCGTGTCGCGCGGGTCGGGCTCGTGCGCCGCGTTGCCCAGGTGGATGAGCGCGTTGTTGAGGTGGCGCGCCAGCGCCGCCGCCAGCGAGTCCCGCGCGCGCGCCAGTCGCCGCAGCCGTTCGCGCACCGCGCCCAGCCGCAGCGCCGCCGCGCCGCAGCCGCCGGCCTCGCCGCCCCCCACACCTCCCCACCCTCGCACCCCCTCAACACCCCGCGAAGCGCCTCCGCCGCCTCCAGCGCGCGCGCGCGGCCCTCCGGCGTCGCCAGCGAGATCTGCAAAAAACACCGCATAACTCCCAAACGTCCGTCGCTCACCAATCTCTCCTTTATTATAAAATAGAAGCGACGAACGAACACAAAGCCACCTGATGATAAATAGACGCTATGACACAGAAATCTTTATTAATACTCCATTAAGAATCAAAATGCATATACGTTGTCACCCCACCAAAACCACCCTATAAAAAGGTTCTCTGCTTCTCTACAATCACCATGTACACATCATCATCATTACAGCCCTTGACCTACCCCTTTCTATTACGAAGGTTTGTGCAATAAATAAATATTAAAAGTTTTGGCTGGCAATTCATTGATCCTACTTTGTAAACAAAAATCAGCTGTTATTTGATTTGAAGTTTACACTGTTTTATAAACACTGACTCGTACAATACAAGAGACAGTTCAGCGACATCTGTTGTGGGTAAGTATTAACTAACTTGGTGATTTGTTTTACTGACATAGAGACAATACAATTAGATATGTTTGTGGAGTAGGTGAACTAATCTGTTAATCTGTTTTTACCGCGATATAATAAACAAATAAAAATTGACTCACATAATCTACTGGGTGATAGCAATAACAATATCGTAGCACTGGAAGGTTTTGGGTTAGATTTTATTTCCTTCTTTAATATAACGGTGACATCTATCTACAACGCACTTATCAGTTAATAAAATCTAATAATTATCACAATTTTACAATGCTAAGCAACAAAAAAAAAAGAAAGCGCAACAAACCAATTTATGCTTTAAATTTCTAGTTGTTTGTAATATTATGTGGGTTGAGTACTTATTTAATTATGTAATAGGATATAAGAGTGCATTTATTAGCCAACAAACTGTCTTTACAGTTCGGCGAAGTTATGAACTTACGTAATGTTTTTTTTTCTATAAATGTCATTAAATAACTAAATAAATAAAATTAAAAAGTCGTTCACAAGATGTCGCCAATGGTAACATGTAAAATATTTAAACAGAAAATTGAATCAAAAACTGCATTACTTTGTTCACGATGCAAAAAATATTTTGTATTTGACTGCACTGGTTACTCTGAAAAACTATACATGTTTAAAGACGTAGAGTCGAAAAAAAAATGGAAGTGCAAAATGTGCAAAGAAAACTCAAAGGCAAGTGACACTGAGCCTTCTTTCGTTACAATGAGGAAAAAACAATTTACGCAAGAAATTGCCAAAAAAAACTCACCCGTCATCATGCAAACGTCAATACAGTCGACACCAAAAACACATCATACCAGTAGGTGAGAATTGGGGCTCTGCGTCACTTGCTCTCGCTTCGCTCGAGCTACATGCCGCTAAAGACCCCAATTCTCTCCAGTAGAGGTACAAAATTTTTAGTTTAACCAAATTAACGTCTACATACTCACAGTTCTATCCTGCGGGACCAAGTGTACTTCCACTTCCAGTTGAGTTACTGAGCATTATATTCAGAGCGTTTGCGAGATACTGCTGGTATCGACGGATCTATATGATTAATTTCTAATAATACAACTTGTTTAGCCTAACTTCATAGTTAGTGCTAATAAACGTTTTTTTTTTTTTTTGATAGTTATACCTAATATAGTGTTAGCTCCTATTACTTGCCCGACTACAATTATCATTACCTAATTAGCAAAATCCATCGTATTAATATAAAACATCTATAATTTCTTGTGTTTATGGTCAGGTGTGCGAAGCTAGGCTTATGCTAATGTAATTGATAGAATCAGTCGTTTCTTTGCGGAAATCCATTATAATAAAGATATTAATTAATTGGCAACCAACCGCTAACTAAATAAAACGATGTGTTGAAATAATACTAGTTTTTACGGAATTTATCGCGTATATTTAACTTTTAATACCCGACGTTTCGTACGCTTTACAGCACTCATGGTCACGGGCAGGACTGAGATGTTCAACGTCCATATGTCATAGTTAACCGCGGTTACCATAGATTAAAGTTTAACTTTTGTTCCGATCTATGCAGTATGAACTTATGGTATCTTGAAGTCTTGCAGTTGTATGCTTGGGTTGGGATTTAATTTTATTTATTATAGGATCCCAAGCAGATGGTAGCACCCAGCCATCTTCTCTATCAAAATTAGGATATTTTTTTGATTTCAATAGCCTCGCGAATCATCCTTGGAAGGAATCGGTGTTCTTTAGCGGGGATCTGCGGTCTATCAAATCTGATGTAGTGACGGGGGCGATCCTGTATGTGTTCACAAGTCTGCAGTCTGTGAACACATACAGGATCGCCCCGTTCGAAACGTCGGGTATTAAAAGTTAAATATACGCGATAAATTCCGTAAAAACTAGTATTATTTCAATGTGTAGTGTTCGCGTAAATATAAGAAATCATTATGTAAAACGATGTGTCTTACCTGGATTGAAGAGCGCCTCCCGCGCTCCCTCAATTGTTTCATTATTGTTTTATTCTCATAGCGAGTGCACGTTGATTACAACGTTCGTCAAATATCATCTATATTGGTGAGTTTAATCATTTTTTTTACTATTTAGAAATTCAGCCGCCATTACCTTTTTTTGACTTCATACTTGTTTTTGTTAATTGCAGATCACGGCCAACACTGAGGAACACAATGATGCTAATCCCATCACTAATCAGTATTATTATGCACAGGATGTGGATAAATATACGAGTACACTAAATTATTACAAACGAAGGGAGCAGCTTCACGATTTACCACCAAATAGAATAGCTATTAATAAAGAGAAGCCATCGAAATCAAAGAAATGTTACAGGAAGAGAAACCGTTCTCAAGAACTATCATCATCATCACACATTATCATTAAAATCAGCATTTGCGAACTTAACGAGCAAGAAGAAAATGTCATCCACGATCTTAGTGCTAATATAAGTGTTCAATATGTTGTGAATTCAATGTATGATGAAGTGTTAGATGCTACAAATTGTCTTATAAAAAAAGGTGAATAATTATGTGAGAACTAGTAATTTAAGTAATGTAGCTTGTAAAATATAATAAAAGTTGAAGTATTGAATTTTATTGTTGTTTTATTATGTATCATATAAAAGAAAGGACATTTATTGTTACAAAGAAAGTATTTATTAAAACTAAATATTTATTTATTTTAAATTAATATAAAGTTATAAACATAATAATACATGTAACTTAAGCTATACATGATTAAAACTACTTTTACGGATTTTATCGCGTTTATTTTTTTCTTACTTTTTATTTTTATTTTTAATTCCCGACGTTTCGGGCGCTTTCCAGCACCCATGGTCACGGGGGACTGAGATGACTGACGTCCCGATGTCATTGTTAAACCCGGAGTACCTTCAGCTTTTTTAATTATTGTTTATGGTCCGATCTATGCAAAATGAACTGACTATGTCCTGAGGTCTTGCAGTGGTATGCTTGGGTTTAGTTTTAATTTTATTGATTATAGGATCCCAAGCAGGTGGTAGTACCCAGCCTCCTTCTCTATTGAAATTAGGATGTTTTTTAATTTCAATAGCCTCACGTATCATCCTTGGTAGGAATCGGTGTTCTTTCGCGAGGATTTGTGGTCTATCAAATCTGATGTAATGGTTGGGGCCGTCTAGGATATGATCACAAACTGCAGACTTCCCGGAACGTTGATGCTTCACATCAGCTATATGTTCTTTTACGCGGGTCCTAATTGATCTTTTGGTTTGTCCTATATAAGAGAGACCACATTCACAATCAAGCTTGTACACTCCTGCATCTTGTAGAGGAATATGACACTTGACGGATGGTAGGAACTGACTAATCTTCTTCGGCGGCTTGTAGAATGTTCTAATAGAAGCTCGCTTCAAGATATAGCCAATCTTGTCTGTGACACCTCTGACATATGGTAGTACAGCAGGCACACGCTCGACTGTGGCCGGCTTCACTCGGTCACTGTGACGTAGGCGCGGGACCCGAAGCTTGTTGTCGTGCAGAACTTGCTTGACGTGCTGAAGCTCGGCGGCCAGGTGTTTGCTGTCACAGATCCCTCGTGCTCTCTGTAACAAAGATTTGCCCACGGTAGCTAACTGTGAAGGATGGTGGTGAGATTCACCGTTTAAATATCGGTTTGTATGGGTCTTTTTCCTATACACAGTGTGACCAATGGTATTATTAGGATTTCGGATGACTAACACATCTAGGAAAGGTAAGGAATTATTTGCCTCTAACTCCATAGTAAATTGAATTTTAGCGTTTATGGAATTAAGATGTTCTAAAAATGCAGTTACTTTGTCTGATGGTAAAATTGTGAAAGTATCGTCTACGTACCGCTTGTAGATCCTTGGTGTAACAGGTGCAGTAAGGAGGGCTTTCTCCTCAAAGTCTTCCATGAATATATCGGCGACAATGGGAGATACAGGTGAGCCCATCGCCACACCATCTACTTGCTTGTAAAACTCTTCCTTCCACAATAGATAGCCAGATGTAAGGCAATGTCTTAGTAATACTGCATATTCTGCTGGCATGTTATTTTCCTCTAGTTTCCTAGTTATAATTGAGATGCAGTCTTCAACAGGTAGGCATGTAAATAGAGACTGAACATCAAAACTGACCATGGTTTCATTGTTACATTTGCGATGGGCTCACCTGTATCTCCCATTGTCGCCGATATATTCATGGAAGACTTTGAGGAGAAAGCCCTCCTTACTGCACCTGTTACACCAAGGATCTACAAGCGGTACGTAGACGATACTTTCACAATTTTACCATCAGACAAAGTAACTGCATTTTTAGAACATCTTAATTCCATAAACGCTAAAATTCAATTTACTATGGAGTTAGAGGCAAATAATTCCTTACCTTTCCTAGATGTGTTAGTCATCCGAAATCCTAATAACACCATTGGTCACACTGTGTATAGGAAAAAGACCCATACAAACCGATATTTAAACGGTGAATCTCACCACCATCCTTCACAGTTAGCTACCGTGGGCAAATCTTTGTTACAGAGAGCACGAGGGATCTGTGACAGCAAACACCTGGCCGCCGAGCTTCAGCACGTCAAGCAAGTTCTGCACGACAACAAGCTTCGGGTCCCGCGCCTACGTCACAGTGACCGAGTGAAGCCGGCCACAGTCGAGCGTGTGCCTGCTGTACTACCATATGTCAGAGGTGTCACAGACAAGATTGGCTATATCTTGAAGCGAGCTTCTATTAGAACATTCTACAAGCCGCCGAAGAAGATTAGTCAGTTCCTACCATCCGTCAAGTGTCATATTCCTCTACAAGATGCAGGAGTGTACAAGCTTGATTGTGAATGTGGTCTCTCTTATATAGGACAAACCAAAAGATCAATTAGGACCCGCGTAAAAGAACATATAGCTGATGTGAAGCATCAACGTTCCGGGAAGTCTGCAGTTTGTGATCATATCCTAGACGGCCCCAACCATTACATCAGATTTGATAGACCACAAATCCTCGCGAAAGAACACCGATTCCTACCAAGGATGA